CTAATCCAGTTGAAGGATTCTGGTGACAAGAGTGTTTATATAATCATTAGAAGCTCAAGGCGATGTTACAGCTCACTCCGGCTTAACTTATTTAAGCAATATATGCAACATACATCATTTTATGAGTAATTTTCCTGTCTGTTCACTATAATCCATTGAAATTGTGGAGTTCATCATTGCAGTCTCTGAAAAATGGCTTTTGTTTTACAGCAGGTGACACAGATGCCTCAGATTCATTATTATTGCAGTTTGCTTTGGGACGTCCTCCCGACGTGAAAAGCGCTATATCAAATGCAAGGATTGTTATTATTACTTTGTAGAAAGAGGAGTGTATTGGTAGATTCTGAAACTCAATACCAATTTTTTGTTGCTCTCTAATACAAACTAGATTTTTTGGGGTGAGGGGACTTTGGAATACTAGAAAATAAATTTCTATACTCATTCAACACAAATGTGCTAGTGGTTGAGCATTAGAAAATCAACTTAAAATACACACTTCCCTCACTAATGGTCATCTCCCTCAGATAGAATCTACACTGAACTTTCACTGGATATTGTGCACGAGTTGGATTTCATTTCTTTCCTCCAGTTAACCTGCAGCTTACATTTTCCATTCCTTGTTGCACTTTACAAATTTGGATGATGTCTCCTCCAGGCCAGGTCTCCCTTTCTCCATTGTAAAACATTTAACTTTGTAAGACTTTCTTATTAACTCAATGCCAGCTCTCAGAATTCTCCTCTCACAATGCTTGTTATTTATCGAACAAACAAAATGAAGCCATTTTCTCTATATCCAGTTTGAATGATGGTACCCCACGGTTTGGCATGTTTAAGTAAAATGCATTATAGATAATAAATCATAATAATGATAATAATCCTTGGCATTAGATATAAAGCCTTATCACATTGACAAGACATCTCAAATAGTTCACAGGATATACTTTAGAGTGTAGTTACTGGTTTATTTGTAGGCAAATGTGGCAGCTAATTCACACACAGCCATGAACTGAATGAGCAATTTTATCTGGGGGAATTGTTGGACAGGACACTTGGGAGGTGTTCCCTTCTCTTTGCAAGCAGTAACACTGGATTCACACCGCCATAATGTAGACTATAACCTTGAAATCCCAACTGTATCAAATTTCTACAGTGGAAATTACTTCGGTAAAATTTGTGTGTAGTATGATGTTCCGTTTCCCAAATTGTCCCCGAGATATTCATAAAACTAGTTTGAGTTTACTTGTGTTCTATTCTCAGTCCAAAAATAATCCCAAAGTGCTGTTCTCCATCATTTATCATCTCCTCTGCTCGCCCTCTCAAGCACCCTCCACCCTCGCATCTAATCCCAAGGGCAAAGCGGTCCTGGACTTCTTTGTCTCAAAGATTTTGCAACACTTTGAAAAATTTTGGAACCTCTCTCTCCCTCAATCCCTCTGCCTTGCCCCTCCTTCCCCCTTTTCAGATTACGCTTGAAGACCTTCCTCTTCCACCGTGCTTATGGTCACCTACTCCCTCCCCACAGCTCGATGGCAGGCTCCACCACTGTTACGTTCTCCAAGACGCTATTTGTGTGAAAAGAGCTATATAAATGCAAGTTGTTATTAGCTCATATATTAGGACTATTTAGGTGATTCCTGATTAATGTGTGGCAGTATGGAAGCCCTATGATTTATATTTGACGTATCTGTGCAAAAGGTGTGCGTTTTACTGTTCACAAATGCTCTTAAATTAATACATTTTCTTGCAGTTGCAGAAATGTTAGATTCTAATTTGTACAACTATTGTGAAGGTGCTAAAACCAGCACCATTCCTTCAATCCCCTCCCCTGCCCCACAAACAAAGTCACAAAAACAGTGGGATGTCACTGATTTTGCATAAAGCAATTGGTCTGTCTTTGCAAAAAAAAGCAATTAAACTCTCACTTACTGATTCTAATTCTTTGTCTGACTAAGGACTTTCAAAGGGTTCGCTTTTCCTTCTACAGTCAAGCGGTTCTATAATCTCTTTAGCCTTTGAAGCTCAGTGGTTCAAAAAGCACTACCACCAGACAACTCCTGTCCGATGAGGAATTGCTTACTCATGTGCAGAGGTCGACTCACAAATGACGAATAGATGCAAATAGCCTGAGATTCTCAAGTGTCCTTTAAGTGCATCTACGGGGAAGGGATTGACTTGCAATTAGATGCAACATTTAAAGCTCTTGCAACATCCACATATAAATGAATCTCCCTCGCCAATATGTATTTTTAAGAGCAAATGAATGATTTATAAGTACTTTAAATGGTTGCCTCACAGCTGCAATGCACACAAGACGATTTCAAGACTCGCGGAAGACAACGGTGCCTCCAGTGATTATTATAAATTCAGCTGAGAACATTCAATGAGGAATCATTCATCAGAATGATTATACTTAAGAAATAGTCATTTTTGCCACATGAAATAATTTATATTACACTATTGGATCAAAATCATAAAATATGATATAACAAGAGAGTAAAGCATAGGTTCCATAGAAATCTACATTACAATAGATAATTTCAACCCATTATATTAGTGTCCATGTTTGCTCTTCCAAACAAACTGTCTATCCCAATCTCAATTCCCTGAAGCCTCGAAAATCCTTCTTTCACATTTGCCTATCCAAGGGCAAAAATTACCTGGATCTAGACTTACTCTATTAATAATAAATTACAAAATACATCTTTTATGTTTGAAGCTGGTTTTCTGTAAATTCTTACAGAATAGTTAAGACTGAATTCAATAATTTGCCAAATCCTGAATGCTCTGAAATGCTACCAATAGCTGAAAAGAGTCACTCGGTGCTCCAAGACATTATCCTGCGTGAAAAACATTGTATAAATGCGAGTTATAGTTGTTGCTGTAAATCAAGATTCCAGTGGAATTTTACTCATTGCATTCCTTTTTAAATTCCCAATTGAGGCTGCTCCAAAAGCCACCCCTGGCAAATCATTCCACACACTGCCAAGTGAGTGGGAGAATGTCTTTCCTTAACTTCCCCTCTCATGCTCTGACCTTTAATGTGAAATGTATGCCCTCTTGTCCTTGAATCATTTGCCAGGAGAAATAGTTTCTCACATTTATTCTTTCAAGCCCTTTTATTATTTTGGACACCACTCTCATATAACTCCTTAACTTTCTCTGCTCCAGCTTTCCCTCATAGATATAGGCCTCATCTCCACTATCATCCTAATGAATTTATGCTGCACCCTCTCAACAGCTATAATATCCTTTCTGAAGTGGAGCACCTGAAATTGCACACAATATTCCAGCTGTAGCTTAACCAACATCTTATAAACATTCATCACCACACGGATGATCCCAGGAATGAAGTAGTATGTAAATTTCAATTAATGAAACTTAAAATAGCCTCACTAAAGCGCAATTCCAAAAAAATCTGTAAAACATTAACCTCATATTGGAGTCCAAACACATTGTTTCAATGCAGCCACAAACTAGATGACTCATCAGGCCTTGTGTGTGTGCACAAGAAGTGATATCAGCTGCCATGTGTATAGCTTGCATGATATAGGATGTGATATCATGACAACCTGATGACCTGGAAGTCCGCCTTTTCTTAATCGCAGAAAGCTAACTTGTCAGTGTCAGAAGTAAGGTAAACTGCGTTTCTATTGAGCATGGGACCATTGAGAACTCAATCATTGAGTGAGGCTGGGTTATAATTGGGTTTCACTACACTAATCATGATAGGCACCAAGCTCTGAATATATCAGTATGTGTTCACAAACCTGGATTCATCATCGACTATTCAACAGACTATTCAACATGGTGAAAGAACCTATACAGGATGGTTTACCCTGTGAAAGCCAGCTTGATGTTCTGTTGGTCCCAGCCCAGTACAACACTGATGTACGTGCAGTGTGTAGGGCAGCACACACATATTAATTTCAACAGCTTGGAAACATAAAGTGAACCTGTGCAAACATATCTGCTGTAGATTCAAGATGTATTGCTTTAAAAGCCAGTGTTATCACATATTCAAACACACTTACTGACTGCTAGAATGCATAATCCTACTGAATGTCATGACATAATATCATACTCCTTTAGACTTGATTCCCAAGTATTGCACTATATTCGCTCCATTATTTCCAAACAGGTGTCATCAGCTTTTGGACATTTATCCAAAACACCACAAAACTATGGCCTGCAATACCATCTTATCAGGTTCTGTTTATTTGCTCCATTATGCATATGTGTAGAAAAATAATGGAAGAGACTTGTATGGTTATTTTATTCTTTCAAATTCAGAAGTGAGCAAGTGTTGTATTAACTTTCATTAAATTGAGAGAAAAACTATGCCGTTCAATGAGTGGAACACTGGACTTGGAACCAGGCGGTTCTGGGTTCAAATTTCCATGTGCAATCTCCTGGGCAAGATTAATGTTTATTCTACTCTGTCAGAATTCTAAATTGTTAACATTTTGCATTCACTGCACGATTAAAATCAATTCCAACAAAGAGAAGCTGGGAAAGAGAAGCAGGTTGGTGTTTGCTGTATTTCAGTAGATTCAATACAGTTTTACCAAAAAAAAGTATATTAGTCCATGGTCATAAAGATCAAATTATTCCTTCCTATAGCCACAATGAAATTCATTAAGTCAGTGAATCAGAGGTGTTCCCATGGCTGCAAATAGTTTTGAGATAAATTCCAACTAACAGACAACTCTTTGGGGGCATAAAAGTGAGGAATGTTGAGATTTGTGCAGAACTAACTGGTGCCTTGAAATGTTATGCTAAGCAATGAGTTGTGGCATAAAGGGATATGTTAATGAGAGATCTGTGCAATATTTATAATCACATTATTGCTGTCACTGTTGCAATCAGTACAGTAACAGATTAACAACCATCACAGGAAAACTAAAAGGCTTCAAATGTGATTATCACAGGAAATAGTTTTACACGTAATTAAAATGCAGCAATTACAGTGAGAGCAATGGAACACAACAACTCATCCTTACCAGAACAAGACAATCCTGTTATATCCTTTTCTCCAAAAAGCTCGAGCAGTCTTTCCCCAATCGGGATACAATTCATCTTGAAGCATCATGTCCGTTACCTTGGTAGAAGAGAAATGGAAGTAAAGTTTTGAAACAATGTGAATGTAAAGAATTTGTATTCAATCCCAAAGTAAAGCAAACATTTTTTTAAAAAAATTATTAGGTGATCCACTTGTTTAAGAAACTTTATTAATGGACCAAAAATGTTTCTGCTCTTTGCGGTGACCCTTATGGGGAATGTGAGCTGCTGAGCGAGTTGAGCACTGTTTTGGGATCGGATGAGTATAATATTTGGTCAGTTTTCTGCTCAATTTTTCGACATGTTGTTACCTCCTATCTCTACTAACATACAATAAGATCAACAGGCAAAATATACAGTTTAGTCTGCACATCAATAATAATAATCTTTGCATTTGAAATGAGACATCTCAAAGCACTTCACAGGATCTACTGCAAAGTGAATTGACTGTATTTTGTCGGCAAAATGCGGTAGCATTGACACAACTATGAAATTCTTGCGTTGTTAAGCAAATTTGTCAAAATGCAGCAGGTGCTGGGAAAGGGAAAGGCTTCCAATCTCATCTTGTACTGATCATTCAGGGATGGTGACATATCAGCATCGGAATCAAGTGATCTATACTGATAGATAAGTACAAGAACTAAGTACAAGTATCTTAGTGGAGTCAATCACTCCACACTAGAAAATGACTCTTATATATAATTTCACTCAACAGGAACAGGACATTTTTTAAAATCAATCTTCTTGAGAGTATTTATTTTATACTAAAAGTACTACTCTAACATATTATTGTTCCCTTTAATATCTATGGTTTATGTTCAATTCATGAATACTATCTGGACCACCAAATCAATGACTGTTTGTGGGACACTGCTGTTCGCAATTGGCTGCTGCGTTTCACCCACAAATACATAGTCAATCCATTTGGCAGTATATTCTGTGAAGTGCTTTGAGATGTCTCAATGACATTATAAGACGCTATATCAAATACAAGGATGATTATTATTCTTATCAGATATCACACCTTACTCATCTTGAAAATAGGCCACGTGTCCTTTAAGCAAAGGCGTATCTGAGACATAAATGACTTCTTTTGGTTAAGAAGCTAAGCATTTTGACAGCTATTCATCTAATTCTACATGAATTGTAGTGAACTCATCACTTCCAGAAATGACAACTGCAGGGGGAAAAAATCTCTCTAACTTGCCCTGACAGCCTCTGGTGAAGATGTAAAACAACTTACACTTGCCACTCTGTGTGCTTTCTATTCCTCCAATCTCTGGAGCTGAATCCTCCAACCTCAAGCCCTCCCTCTCTGCTACCTCCCTCTCTCTGACTACTATTTTGATCGCCCCCCACCCCCACACACACACTCCCACTTTCCTCAGGCTCCCATTTCATTTCACTTCAAGATGTTTTCGTACATGAAAGATGCTATACAAGTGCAAATTGTTGACCAATTCAGGTCAGATATCAAGGAAGGGCTGTGTGTTCTCCAAATGGTTAATGAGAGGTCCTTCTCTATAGCCAGTGCGCTGTGTGCATACAAACTAATAGCACTGTTAGCCCACACGTGCTCTATTGTTAAACCCCGAAAACAGTTCCTGCACACATTGTATTCAGTGAATTCTATTCAACTGTTCATATTTTTTCTCCCCCTCTCTCTCCCCCATAACATAAACCACAAAGATAATTTGAGATCCATCACCTTAAAGAGCCCTCCACGAGATTTCTGTTAGTGTAATCGTGCAATACAAATAGAGACCGTTACAGAAAGATTGGACTCTGCTGGATCATGGAAATGCCAGTGATATTCCTTTGGCATCAGTATAAATAAAATGCCTTGTACATAAAACTGTCCTTCTCCATCAGTTAATAAGCTTTTCAAATCATCAGCAATTCTGGTTACATCAATGAACGGCACTCTTGTTTGAACGATAGCAGCAGCATGTCATTTGCAACAAATTAATCCATGTATCATGTATTACAAAAGATCCATTTCAGTCGAGGAAAAAACATGACTTCAGCATCATTTCTTAATGGTGAGCTCCATGTAAACCAGCAATAACTGCTTATTCAAGAAAGCAGTTTTCCCTTTTAAGTTTCACTGCCCTGAAAGTTTATTCAATATCATTCCCTGCCAAATCATTAATGAGAATGTGCAAAATTGAACTGACATTGCTGAGCAGCAGTCTGAGAGAAGATCGCAATTTCAGTATTAGGTATGATCACACTCCTGTGGGTTTGAGGCAGCTGGCTGGGGTCTCCAGACAACTTGGAGCTTTTATTTGTATGGTCATGTCATCGGATCAATGTCAGGTCACTGACAGCCAAGCAGAAAGCTGTGGAGAGGATTAGCTATTTCAGGGCTTAATTCAATAAAGGAAAAAGCCAATTATCTTTTACATTTTTTTAAAAAATCTGATTCATTTCTCTGGGGCAATTACTGCAGAATCTGCAGGAGGTGATACCGTCAAGCATTTCAGCTGGTGAATATTGTGCCTATGTTATGTAGGATCAATACTATAATAAGTGACTTTCTATTGCCACCCCTACTGGAATGTAGCACAAGAGCTTCATGCTGCAGAGTACATGTATCCCAGCAAAAATTTCTATTTAAATCTGCAATCTCCATCATGAAACAAGCTTACACTCTTGCGTATACTTGCCTGTAGGTCTCTACTGCACTTAACAGTAAATCCTGTGAGGGGCTTTGAGACAATTTGACGATGATTTGATGTGAAAAGGTGCTATATCAAATGCAAAATGTATTATTCAATAAATATTAAGAAGAACTGTAAATTTTTCTTTGCTCACATTCATTTTATCAGGGTCTCAGACATCTCATTTATTGAGGGCAGTATATTTACACAGGTAGCATGTCCAGAAGAGGCATTTGTTTGCCTTCCCTGTGTAAAGGCAATAACTGAATCAAATACTTACCCTCCTCAGCAGGCTTTCTGTGAAAACAGCAGCATTTCAGGGTCAGAGCGTGACTGACAGAGAAGGTGAGCTATCCCAGCTGTCTAATGCTATCAAAAGTGCGGAAAAGCTTTAAGACAGCAGACGGGTTTATTTTCCCTGTGCTGAGCTAAGCTAAAGAAATGAATTGAAAGCTTTTACAAAAAGCTTACATTAATATAAAAAAAAGTTGCAATAACATGTGGGCTGAACTTTCATCAATTGGGAGTCCATAATTGTTAGGAAACAGGAGTATTCTTTAAGTGGTGCAGTTTCACAAATAATTACCCTTGCTGTCCAGGTCTCCTACCTAATAAACCCTGTGCATCAGCATCATTTGCAGGGTTGGTTTTAATTAAGAATAGTTTCCTAAGAGACCTGTAAGGAAACAGTTCACTGGCAGCACAGATTCAAAAGAATTGAATCTATATTTCTCTACACTGGAGAATTTGTACTGCTGGCAATCTGGCATAATTTTTAAGGATTGAGTGAAAATCAATTGCGTTAATTACGACAGCAAGAACAAGCACAATCCTTCAGCCTCTGGATATTGGATCTGCATTGGATTTGTAGGTAAACCCATTGTGAACAATTAGCAATCGGTGTTCATTGCTGGCTACAGTGCTTCAAAATGCACTGCTGCATGATGCTCGTTCATAGAATAATGAAGGATAAGAATGCGCTATGTAATAACGTGGGACATTCTGCTTCTGCACTAATCCCATTGATAATTATTGTGGGAACACCCCCTCCAGCCACCTCTGTCATTTTGTTAGAATGGCTCCGTTCAAAAGCTATTTTTCAAGCGAGTAAACCTGCTCGCCAGCCAGCAACACTTTTGATCCTCCCACCGAGCAGATCCCAGCACTTCACTGCCGTTTCGGAGAACATCAACTTACCTCAACTTTAAAACTCAAGGATTTAACACTTACTGTTATCAGATTTTTTGCCTTCCCATTGTAATGCAAAGAATGAAACTCGCTTACACTCTGGCTGCTTTTACTGATGATTGGAGAACTGTACATCATAACAGAGGCTATTGTAGATTGAAGAAAGCCTTTTGATCTACTTGAGCCCATCCTTCCAGAATACCCAACCCAACTTCTTCCTATTTCATCATTAAATGGTTTCTTAAGTGAGTCACCAGAAGAAAAACAGAAGGAAGAACAATGCTGGGAATGGCTAGTTTTTTAATGTTTGTATTCCTGAGAGTGAAAAANTATCACTTCCAGCAGACTCTTTCCTGGAGGCACCAAACTGTGAGAAAGAATCCCACACAAGCACAGAACAAGCGATAATGTAAGTTGACACAAACACATCAAGTCTGTGATTCACATTAAATTTCTAGCCTTGAAATGTCTTAACACATTCAGTTGGTCAGGAAAGGGAGAAGCTACAAACTAACATCGATCAGGTGCATCCTGAAATAAACCACAACCATCAGATTGGGTTTGTGTACCAAATGCTCTGCAGTCGTTTTGCTAGGGTGATTCAAAAGCAATTTGCTTACACATATCCCCCCGTTCAAGCAATGCATTTGGTGGCAAAATATAGAGAACAACCTAGCACAAGTGTGCTCCAGGGGGCCAGAGTTTTGATCTTTTCATTCCATGCTTTGTTAAGATACTGTTATACACCCGAAACAAATTAGGTTACTTAAAACTAATTTTAAAAGGAAATGTAATTACAAAGTCTCTCAGACTTGCAGCTATAACATGTGAAAATGACTTTCAATGTGTCGTAAGCTCAGTGAGCTCAAAATGAAGAATGATAGATAGGTTAAATCCTGGGATACAGATGTACCCAATTAGCCTTTGGATATAATTTGATACTTAGAAATTTTCCCCATCTCATACGTCACGGAATATTGCTGTGCGTAATTGGTCTGTTGCATTTGCCTGCAAATACACGTTCACTTCACTTTACACTAAATCCTATGAAGTCCTTGGGCATGTCCTCCTGACATGAATAGCGCTATACCAAATACAAGAATGCTAAATTTTTATAAATCACATGTTGGGCCTAAACTGGAGTAGTCTGTCCAATTTTGGGCACTACACATTAGAAAGGATATCAAGG